TGCAGTAATGCTGTTTCCATCCTTCCTCCCCCCTACAACTCTAGGAAGCCCTACAGCAAACCTATTAGAAAGAAAGAGCAGGAACAGGCAACTATTTGCAGTAGTCTCAGACATAACACAATTTCCTTAATTAGCTCCACAAAAAAAGTATTGGTTTCATCTCTCAGGAGCTAGATGTTAAGGGAGATAGCCAAACTATAATAGAACAGAAATTGAAAAGTAAATAATAACCTATCTACTGGGTGAGACCTTGTACTTGCCTTGCTAACAAAAGCCACTCTAGAAATGGCATGCACACTAGGAAGTGAAAAGCTTTTTCAAGGAATAACAACATACTTTCTTTCACCAACTCCATCTGATTTTTTCTGCTTGGGCACAAAAAATGCTGCAAACCTAGGGGATGCTTCAGTCTGTGCACAATCATTCCCACAGCCATGACTCTGGTTGAAATGCAAGTTTAGCAGCACCAGTGGAGAGCAGCCCTAGTTTCCAAGTGGAATTTCTTTTAAGTCTGAGGGTGTCTGTGACTTATGTTCTGCTTTAGGCTCACCACAAACAAAGCCTAGGATGCTTAAAGCAATTCTGAACTAGAGCTTTGGCCCTACGCTTTTATTTCAAATCACAGAGTTCCTCAGAGACTATTTTTAATGCCTACTCCATTACACATCATCGTAGCTTCAAGTGTAAATTATATATATAGTCAAAAAATCTACAAGGCTGGGGTCCCTGATGAGCATCACTGTTAAATATGGGTTCCCTCTTGTCTTGCAAAGCCCTGGTGTGGTGGCCTCCAGGACACAATGGAAGACCACAACACACTGTACTCTTCCAGTAAGTGTTGGGCTTTTTAAGTGCTTATAAACACCAAGATTTTAATATTTAACATGCACAGTAGTGGCATATTTTAGTGGGTATTTTTTTCTTTTTTTTTTTTTTTTTAAATGTATCTCTTCTAAGACAGCTGCTCTAACTTTCTTAAGTTGCAAACAAACATCACCAAGTTTTCTGGCATGTTCTCAAAGCAAGCTAGGAAGAGTTAACAATGTAATCTCATCTTCACCCAACTATCTTTGCTTTTGAAAGTTTCCACTCTTTATGTTAATGCACAAAACTGTAAACCTAAGTTTTCTGTCTACCTATGAAATGATGCAGAGCATGAATTCAGCACAATGTTTACTGTCTGAGTATGAAGCATTACAGGTAAAAACCCAAGCATGACAAAATCATAAGCATCCCATTTTCTACACTAGATTAAACAGCTTTTACTTCTTTTTCTTATGGAAGTCATTTGGTCAAATGTCAAATCTCAGCTGCTGGCAATTACGCAAATGAGTATTTATCTTTTCTTCTCCTTTTGACTAAAGCAGAACAAAAATAATCTGTGTGTGATAAATCGTTGCATTAGGTGACCAGAACTCATTCTAACACATCTAATGGCCAGGGAAGTGTGTTATGCCACTTTAGGAACTATGCCACCAGATGGCTGAATCCCCATTATCGTGGCAAGTGATGATGCTTACCCATCAAGTTCTTTTTTCTCAAATATAGTCTCATAAGCTGGTTATAAGCCAAGTCCCTATTGCACATATTCTTTTATGGCTAAGGTTATGAGAAAAACACCTTCTTTTTTACAGTAAAAGATACCTACCATATGGTATTCTACCAGGTGAAAAAAAGAAACTTTTTATTTTGATAAGACTGAATATAACTACACCCAGTTACTAAAGTCTTTCACTGACACTTATTATTCCCATTAAATTTCCCCTATTTGCTCTCAATTATAAGACTTCAGCAAACCTTACTATTAAACAGATGTTCAATACTCCATCTCTAGACAAAACAGAAATACTCTCCCTACAAAAGGAAACTCAAACATTCAGAAAAAATAAAATACCTTTGGTCGGATTAGGATCTACCTTTAGATAGATGAGGATACCTCTGTTCGGATACTATCAGTTACAGAAAATGAAATTAAATATTCATTTCACACCAATCTGTAGTACTAGGAAAAACCTGCTGTTGTGAAAGACAGGATACTTCTCTGCATTGAAATATTGAAACTACCGTAACAATTCCCCAAATAAATTAAAGGTGAAAATTTTGTCATCATGACTTCAACTAAAGAATAAATAGTGGAAGTATAGATTTGAACTGATAATACATAAAATCCATGGCAGTGACTTGATATAACAGGTCAGGGAAGTTAATTTCTAGCTGATTCTTTAAAGTAATGGGCAACATACGAAGTCAATGAATTACACATTTTATCGACTTTCAATACCCAAAGCTATGTTTGCAACAAAATAATGCACACAAATATTATATAGCTCCGCAATTTTTCCCCATCATGGCATCAGCACACGTTCTCCAAACAATTTATTTATTGGTCTAGAATCTCCAGACAGTTATTATTTTATTTTAAAAGAAAGCACATGATGATAGTGGAATAGCAGAACATGGAGGCCACAACTGGATCATCACATATGTGCTGTGCACATTGCTACACAGACAGAAGAGCACAGAAATACATAAACAAAACAATGGGTGATAATGGAGTAGCAGTGAAAAGAAACAATTCTGGGAAAACTTTTACGTGACTTGCCCAGAACAAAGCAAACAGAACTAAAAAAGGAAGCTATCAAATGACTAAGCAGGCAGAGTCTTGGAAAAAAACTAGTGGCTAATGCATATATAATATACATCCCCTATGCCGAGTACCTCAAATTCTTACTGTATGCAATTTTCCTTTGTTACTTTAAAATACTGAAATAAATGACAGATCATAGACTTCTATTTAAACAAACAAAAAGACACCACCCCCCACCCCAAAACCCTCAAGCATTCTCTGATCCTGGCTGACCCTAATTTCTAATATAAACACAGAAATACTGCTGTCTATCCCCACCAATGCAGTTGCTCAGATGAACATGTTCCCTTGTCTGTTCTATGAATCATTCATTTATAAATTCATTCCAAGAATCTCGAGTGGAGTCCAGCAGTCTACATTCATACAAATAGTTTCAATTAAGATCGTCTGCAATGCAGTCAAAAATCAGTCGAGAGTAGAGAAAATGAGCAAGTATGAGGCAATTCACTCTGGGCTCAGTGGGTAGCTTAGAACAAGCAGAACACAACATGAATAGGTACAGACAACTTTTATTAGATATTAATCTTTGTTAGTTTCCCTTCTCACTTTTTTTACAAACCCTTTTGCTTGCTGGTTCTTCTGCCTTTTTCTTTTCCTCTACAGTCCTTTAATTGCAATGGACTTTTTTTAATATCAGGTCCGAAGGGTCTTCTTCCCGTATATGAATATATGAATAGTTTTCCAAAATTGCTTTTCAGATCTATAAATATGATAAATTGAAACTTTAGAGAGGCTAGTCAGACAGCACGTTGCAACTGCTGGCCCAAGCAGCTCAGGACACATCTTGTCATACTGCATAATACCTGCAATAATGATCTGTTTGTGCTCTGTGACTCAGATACAGAAGCTCTTCTGATTCCAAAGCCAGGAAAATGTTTATTAACGTCAGTACGACTCATGTTTATCAACCCCAAATGCAAATCTTAATTAACTAAAGTCTCCCACAAGGAAGATTATTCCACCCCCTTCCCTCCACCCCAGTGAGACACCGAAACATTGAGAAAAACTGATGTCTGTACAGTATGGTAAGAAACCTCCAGGTCTCCCGTTTTTATTTTGGAGCTGGCAAAGGAGGCTGCATGTGGGAAAAGTGCACCTACTAACACGGCTTCATGGCAGAGTCCTGACAAAGAGGCACTGACTTCGTAGCTACCACATGGCCTCCAAGCGCCTTTCCTGCTCTCCAGCTCCACAGGGCAGGGGAACACAGACAGCAGGCACAGCACTAGCGGTAGCTCCCTGGCCCGGCTCGGCTGGGACAGGGCTGTTTTTCCCCCG